CGGACGCCGGCCGCGGGCGCGCTCCAGCCTGGAAGCGGAGCCGCCAGCCTGGGTTGCGGCGCGCTCGGAATGGCCGCCGCAGAGGGGCTGCGCGGTGGAGCTGGGAGTCGGCCGAGAGAAGCTGGCCGCCCTGGGCCTCGGGGTGTCCGTCCCTGGGGCCTGCGGGTGAAGCCCAGCGAAGGGTGCGGCGTGCCAGGGAGTGTCAGGAGTACCAGGGGTGCTGTGTTGCACCCCAGGTGGGACAGTCAGCTGCATCTCACAGCTGTTTGCCTCCGCACCCTGGACCCCTGCACGGTTTGGGGGGAGCAGTTCACTTCCGAGGACGGCTCGCGCAGGCTTCACCACTGGCTCGCAGCTAACCTGCGCCCGACCCCCGTCCCGCTTCTCTTCGGTTGCAGCCTCTCCTCCCAGGCTGTGGCATTCTCGTGCCAGGCGGTCTCGCACGTGGGGGTGTTTAAAGCTCTTCCTGACGCTTTCCGCAGCCAGATCATGTCCCGCCAACGCACTGGGTTCTGGGCTCAGAAAACGCTTGTCCGTGCACCTGCTACAGCCTGAGAATTTCCGGACACCGGCTCGGGGAGGGGAGTGTTACAAAAGAGCCAGTCGGGGTACCTGCCTTTAACCCTCGTACAGTTTATGGAGACAGAAACGAGGTCCCTTGGACTTGGACCTTGAGCTGATCGTGGAGACTCAGGATGGGCCCCTCACCCAGGATAGCTCTCTGGCTTTGCCCCAGACCTGGTGAAGGCCTGAGGACCTTTCCAGGGGGTTGACGTTTATGCTGACAACCCTGGGAATAGTTTGGTGCAGAAGTCGTGATGTTCTCTCACCTAGATATTCTCTTGACATTCTGACCCAAATGCTGCCCCTTTAGGGAAGTGTTCCTTGGTGTCACAGTCTGGCCAACACCCTTGCCGCCTCCTTTCAGTCCCCACTCCTCTGGGCCTGTGCTCAGCTGCAGGATACCCTGGCAGTGGTGTTTTGGAATCAGTCAGCCCCATTAGTAAGTAGGCTGTTGGTACCTTCTGGGAAATTCAATGTCCGTGCCCCACAGGCTCTGCTTTTGAATATAGCAAAGGTTTCAATCATTTGTTTCCCCCTTTCCTTTTCACATTTTGAGATGTTCACAAAAGGCAGCATTAAGTCCTTGAGAATTTTGTGGGTTTGTTCTGCCATTTGTGAACAATGTCATCTTGAGAACTTAACAGCTTTTCTGAGGCTGTTTCCTTGTGTAGAATGGGGTTTTATACTATTTTTTTTTAATCATTGGCCCCTTTTGAAGATTAAAATAGTTAATATGGGGGGGCCCTCCCTGGTGCGCAGGGGGTTAAAGCGTTACACTAAGAAGCTTAAGCCACTTCTCATGAGTTCGATCCCTGCCCCAGAGGAGATCCACATGGCTGGCAGACCTCTCTTGACCCGCCTGCTGCTCCTCTCAGCAGTGTACTTCGTGGATCTGCCTGTTCTGCTCCCCACTCTGTCTCTGGTGAATCCTCTCACCCTCCGCATCTCTGGCCTGTACCCCAGTTCTGTATGAATAAATAAATAAATCTTTACAAAAAAAATAGTTAATACGGACCCTCCCTGGTGGCGCAGCCGGTTAAAGCGCAGCACTAAGAAGCTAAAGCCATTTCAGCATGTGTTTGATCCCCAGCCTGGAGGTGATCCACATGGTGTGACACACCTCTCCTGACCTGCCTGCTGCCCTCACCAAGTGTTCTTCATTAGTTCTGCTTGTTCTGTTCCCCACTCTGTGTCTGGTGAATCTTTTCCCTTTACCTGTGCCTCTGGCCTGTACCCCAGTTCAGTATGCATAAATCAATAAATATTTAAAAAAATAGTTAATGTGTCTAGAGTACTTAGGATAGGAGCTAAATTCAAGTGCTGGCCTGTTTGCCTATGGGTTGTCTCCTATCTGATAATTTGTCTATTATTATAATAATAGATTGTCTTTATTTAAATTCCTGGTGTCTCTCGTGGGATTCCCTACCTTCCTCCCTTGTGTATCCCTCTGTCTTTTTTCATGATCTACTGCTCCAGATCTGCCTGCTGGCCATCTGTTATGTTCTTTTCTTTCTCCTGCCAAGCATGGCAAACTTTGTCTTTACTGCAACTTTCATATTGTGTATTACTTTCTTTCTAGCCGTCCGAGTCAAAAAGAGCTGGACTTAGTTTCTATTTTGACTTTACTTATTTTTTCCCTTTTATTTCCACAAGGGGAAATTAATCCTCACTAGGTTCCATTTCATCTATATTCTAGTGAAGAGTAGCTGGGTAAATCCCCTCCCAAGCTCTAAGCCTTAATCAGTCACCATTGTTCATATATATATATATATATTTTTTTTTTTTTTTTTAAAGATTTCTTTATGCATACAAGAACAGGGATGCAGGCCAGAGGTGTGGGGGTGTGGGTGAGAGGCTTCACCAGAGACAGAGTGGGGAGCAGATCTGAAATACACTGCTGAGGGGAACCTCCCAGAGACAGGAGAGGGCAGCTGCGCCATGTGGGTGACTTCCCTGGTGGGGGATCAAATGTGTGTTGCTGTGGCTGTGGGCTTAACCCCTGGTGCCACCAGGGTGGCCCCCCATAGCTCATATTTTTATTTTGTTTTCATTTACTTGAAACTTTTGCTCCATTCTTGAGCTTTGATTGTCAGAAGCAATGTTATTTGTTAATTTCATAGGCGAACAAGTTACTTTAGAGCATTCTGCTGCTTCAACTGACACATATTTTGCTCCTTGTCATCACAGGCTGAGTGAAGCCTGTGTCACTGAGCACTGTACCATTTCAACACTGATTGTGTTTTTGAAGCTGCTCATTTATTTTAGCTCCATATTTAGCTAATGTTCCTTTCATGAAGGGTACAAGACCTTTATCTCACTTCATGTCTCAGGCACCATAAAATGCTGAGTCACAGTGCATCTGAGGGCTGCTCTCACTAGGCAAATGATTTCAAGTGCCAGGTTAAAGTGATTTTGAATTCCTGGCAGGCTTATGTTGTTGTTTAATTCTTTTCTTTTAATTCGGTGTGCTTGTGTAACTGGGGTTGAGGTAGAAAGGCGGTGGATAAAGAAAGGCGTGTAGACTGCAATGGTTTTGAAGGCCACTCATGCTGTTCACAAGAAACTGAATACAGAACTGTTTAATCATTACTTTAGACAGTTCTTACCACTTTCTTACTTACAGTTTTGCTTTCTGCCTTTTATCTACATAGTTTTGAATGCCAGAGCTAGTGATGTAGTTAAAATATTCTTCAGGGGATATAGAAGAAGATGTTTCTAGTTCTTGTCATGAGACCACACATAGATGATTGTTAGTAATCTGGGAAGATTTGTGAGATTTGGACCAGTCGATACCCTAAATTCTTTATAGTTCCAAAACTAGATTGTCTAGTGATGGGACATAAAGGTTGTAATGAGTGCATATATTTGTATACAGTTGACCCTTAGGCCACATGGGTGTGAATTGTGTGTTCACTTACACACAGTTGTTTTTCTTTCTTCAGGTTCTGCATTCACGGGTTCAACCATCTTGGATGCTGAACACAAAACCCGAGGAGAGGGGCCAATGATAAGAGCCTTGAGCATCCACAGCGTGCCCTGAAAACAATCCTTTGCCACCTCCATGGCATGTTTGTAGTGAAGCTGTGGAAGAAATCAAAGGTATAGATGCATTTTCTACTTCTTAGGTATCAGTAGCCCTTAACCTCCACATTGCCCAAGGATGCGTAAAACATTTATAGACTTGTACATTCATTTACAAATTAGATGCATGAACCCATGAGGTATATGATTATATATAGCTCCACTACTAAACTGTCAAACCCTGCCATGCCAATGAACACATTGTAACTTTCAATTGACTTACGTCATTACAATGGTATGGTCATGAGAAAAACCGTTCAGATAAGGTAAGCTAACCATAGTGTGGGCGAAAATAATGGAGAAAATATGTCTATATATTTATTCATCCATTTGACAAATAAGTAGTATGTACCCACTATTGTGCCACGCACTCTTCTAGGCTAGGAATGCAGCCTTAAATCAAATCAAATCACTTATATCTTAGTGGGGAAGAGAGATGACAAACAAATACATAGTATAGCTGGTAGGAATGTATGCTCTGCAGAAAAAGGAAGGAGGGAGGCTTGGGGTTGGGTACTATTTTTATTTTAGGTATTTGGGAAATATTTCATTAATAAGGTGATATTTGGTCTTCAATCTAGAGAAAGTGTGGGATGTAGTGATAAGATTTCAGAAAAACGGCCAAGCAGTGGACCTGCAAAAGCCCAAGGGCAAATATGCCTGGCTTTGAGCAAGGAGGAGGACGAGTAATAGCAAGTCGGGGAGGTGGTAGAAGGAACTGAAGTTGGAAAGGTTGTGGGAGACCTGATTAAGTTCATGACAAAGACTTTGGCTTTAATTCTGCATGAGAAGTCATTATAGGGTTTTGAGCAATGAAGAGACATAAATTAAGTTGCATTTTAAAGGAGACACTGTGGTCCCTGCATTATTGCAGGTGGGTCAAGCCAGAAGAGGTAGAGTTGGTAAGAAATGGTTGTGGATATGTGTGTGTATGTGTGTATGTATGTATGTGTATTTATAATATTTTAAGATTGATTTATTTATGCACACAAGAACTGGGGTACAGGCTAGAGGTGTGGTAGGTGAGAGGGTTCACCAGAGACTGGGGAGCAGAACAGGCAGATCGACTGAAATATACTGCTGAGGGGAGCAGCGGGTGAGACAGGAGAGGTCTGCTGTGCCATGTCGGTAGCTCCTTTGCTGGGGATTGATCTTGTGCTGCAATGGGGATTGCTTCATAGTGCTTTGACTTAACCCCTTGCACCACCAGGGAGGCCCTGGTTATATTTTGAACTTTAAACTGATAGAATGAAAAGTTAGGTATAAATGGAGGTGGTATGAAGAAAGGGTCATTAAACAATTGGAGATGCTTTTTAGACATTCAAGGAACAGCTGGATTTATAAGAATAGAGTTGGAAGGGATAGCAGTCCAGGCTGGATATATAAATTTGTGATCCCTTCAGCATACTGGTACAAAGCGATAAGACTGGGTAAATTAATCTAGGATAGTACATCCCGGAGCTGAACATTAGAATGCCCGGAGGAACTTTTTTTTTAACATTAAAAAAAATAAGTCAGTACTTAGGCCTCTTTTCCCAGAGGTCCTTGACTGAATTGATAAGTAGGACAGGCCATTGTATTTCTAAAAATGGTCTAAGGTGATTCTATTTTTGAACACTTGGGTTATTTACACTTTAAAAAAAACCTTTGTAAGCAGTACTTCTGTGGATAGCCTTGTAGTCTAATCTTTGTTTATATTTCTTATTGATTATATAAGATACATTCCTAGAATACTAATAATAACCTTACCATTTTCACAAATGAAGAAACCATGATTTTGTTCTAACGTATTGCTCAATAAGATGTTCATGCTATAAGCTCTGGAACAATTGACATTACAACTGGTAATAAAGATTTGGAAATCATCCAGTATCTGGAGTGACAGTCAAATCTTTGTTCTAGACAGAACTGAGAGGTCTCAACATTATTTAGTCAGAAAAAAGAAAGCTACTAAAGAACAAAAGATGAATATAGGAGGCTTATTCAGTTCTCACTTAGGATCAAGTAGTAGTAATCCGGGATTCAGTTTAATTTTCTGATCAGTCATTTTCTTTCTCCTTAGTTCATCAGGTTAAAACAATCACAGGGTCAGAGACACACAAAATGTTGGCAAATCCACTCAGAAAAAGCAATCAGGAAATTAAATTGCAGGAATTCAAAAGAGAGATGAAGGTAGAGAGTAGAATGGTAAAAGTAAAATAGGGGACAGGATGGATATGGTGTATGTTTTAGAAATAAAGCCTGGAGATGAGATAGACAATGCCCATTATTGTTTCTAGATATTTCTCCCTCCACATTCCTAGAACACATGAAGCTTTTACTTTTCCATCATCAGGTTGTTACTTCCTACTCCTTATTGCATTGTCAATTTATTACAAATTTACTTACTCCTTAAAGTCATATATGTTGTTCCATATATTTCTCAAAAATTTTAACTCCTGGCTCATTTTCTTTCTAGTGGCCACCTCTGTCTTAATTCCCTCCTTTTCCGTATATGTATAAATGATTCCAACATCCTGGCATCTCACTTCCTTGAATTTATGTTAAATTATCTTGTCCTGTACTCTCATGGAGCTACTCAGCTTCTATGGTTTTATTATTTTGTCATTGTCAAACCCTCCTTAATCTCTCTTGCTAACTGCCACATCTTATCTTTCCACTCCCTCCACTACTATTAAGCAGTGTCTAGAGAGTACTACAACAGAACTCAAGACAGTGCCCAAGGTGGGAAACAGGCTACCATCGTGGGTTCCTACCAGTGGGCACATTTGCAAGGACTCTCAGAATCAGGATCCCACGACAACAGGGTTTCCAATATGGGTATTTGCAAGAAGAGAAAAATCCAGATGACGTCTAGATTTTTGACTTGAGGCTTTAAACTGGTGATAAAATCATTTACAGAGATGGAAAAGAAGGATTTGGTGGTGGTGTGAGTGTAGACTTCCATTTTAGAGCTCTTTCAGTGCACTGGTGGAGGTGCTAGGGTCATAGTTGAATTTGAAATATTAAAAGTGGCTACAATGCAGACACCTAAGTGAATTGTTGTGGGGGTTGGTGTTGCTGGTGAAATGTATCTCCTGAGCTCCTACACAATAAATTTCCATTTGAATACTTACCAGTTATTTTCGACAACTTCGCAGTTACCGTTATAAATGGTAGAAAGCCACATATTCTTGGAGTTTTTGATACTACAGGGCAAGAGAATGGAGACAGATTACCACCACTGAATTATCTACAAACTGATATATTTCTGGTTCATTTTTCAGTGATTGCTTCATTGTCATTTGAAAATATGAATGAAAAGTGTGTACCTGAGATAACTCACCACTGTCCAGAGACTCCTTGTTTCTTGGGTCCCAAGTTGAACTCAGAAATGACTTACTTACTATTGAGAAAATTGCCAGCAACAAAACCTGTCACTCCAGAGACTGCTGAAAAGCAGGTGGTGACCTGAGGCTGTAGAGTTCGGGGAGTAATAAATACCTACAGAAGTAGGTACAGTAACACAGGCTGCCCTGACCCTCCAGAATTGAAGAAGAGTCATAGGTCTGCGCTGCTGTATCTTTCCGTACAGCTGGTATCAGTATTGTACTAAGAGCAATGTTTAAATCAAACTAAAGATTAAAAATTAAAATTCAGGCCTTCCCTGGTGGCACAGTGGGTTAAGACTCAGCACTGCAAGCTAGCCGTAGCCGCTTCAGTGCGAGTTCGATCCCTAGCCAGGGAGCTGACCCACATGGCGTGGCAGACCTCTCCTGACCTGCCCGCTGCTCCCCTCAGTAGTGTACTTCATTGATCTGCTTGTTGTGCTCCCTACTCTGTCTCTAGTGAATCCTCGCACCTCCCCTGCACCTCTGGTTTGTACCCCAGTTCTGTGTGCATAAATAAATCTTTAAAAAATGAAAATTCGTTTCTGCAACAATGACAGATACACTGTACCCACCTATATGCATTCATGTGAGACAGAGCCCAGAGGTAAGACCCCTGTCCTTGCTATATTAGTTGATTTTGAGTAACTGTGTATTGTGAGAAAAGTCATCAGTATTATTTTTAGGTTTTTAAAATTTTTATTTCTATTTTTATCATTTATTTACTTATTTGTAATTGAGGTAACATTAGATTACCCCCTCCAGGTATACCACTGTGGTGTACCCACCACCAAATCACCCATAATCCACCTCCATGGCGGTGCATCCTTCCCTCTTTATTCTTACCCTTATTTTTTGTTTCGTTATTTCAAAAAAAAATTTTGTGGTTTGTTATAAAAACAAGGCCTGCTTGTAATGAAACTAACAGACTAATTTTGGTTGTTGGCGCTGCTCCTAGGTCTCATTTTGCAGAATAATCTGGAAAATGTAGGGGCTCTCCTCCCTTACTTGGGGGTGGTGGTGGGAAGAGTCAGTTTTTATTTAGTCATTAAAAAAAATCCATTCACTATTGCCTAGCCCTTAGTGGGGAGTGGGGATTCATACCTCACTCCACTTCCTAAATCTAATCTACAAAGTATGTTTAGCTCTTAGGAAGGAATTAAGTAAAGTTCTTTTTTTAAAGACATCCTTTTTTTAAAAAAAATATTTATTTATTTATGCATACAGAGCTGGGGTACAGGCCAGAGGTACAGGGGCGGTGAGAGGATTCACCAGATAGAAGGTGGGGAGCAGAACAGGCAGATCGACGAAGTACACTGCTGAGGGGAGCAGCGGGCGGGTCAGGAGAGGTCTGCCACGCCATGTGGGTCTCCTCCGGGGCAGGTGGGATCGAAATCTTGTGGAAGTGGCTTTAGCTTCTCAGGCTGTGCTTTAACCTGCTGCGCCATCAGGGAGGGCCCCATCCTCTTTTCTTAAAGTTGCCTTTTTGTTCCACCTTTGAATAGGTCCAACATTTGATGACACTCATGAATGGATGGAGTCTGTTTTGCCTCTTTTCTAAGGTGCACTGTTATATGTGACTGTGATTTTGAAGAAAATTTGTCATTTGATTTT